GTATAGGAAGGCATAGCCCAGGGGAAGCCAGGCACAGGCCTCCTGCGATCCTCTGGCTAGCTCCCCCAGTGGAGGAGTAACAGAGCATAAGAAATGCTGCCTACTACAGACACACATCCAGAACTCAGGCCCCAGTGTGTTTTATTGGGACTGGTCCCATAGGCAGCCTGAAACATAACAAAATTCCCTGTTTCTGGAGGCAAAATAGAAGCTCCATAAAAATCACAATGCTGGAATAAATAGTTCAGGCACAGGAAACCACTCTTTGCCCTTAGAGTGGCAGGAACCATCCTGAAATCCAAGTTCCCAAAGAAAGGCTGTAAAAGCAAGTCTTTTGAGGAACACTCATGCCTGTTAGGCCCATTCTTTCCACACGAATTGTAAACATCGTTGTGCAATAATCAGGGGGATGGAGCAGAAGTACAACGATTACTCTAAGAGCCTAATGAGAATCCTTAACCTTTCATTGTCGCCTGCTTGTCTTCTTTGCCCTTTCCTCGAGGGCTGGCCCTCAGTGCCATAAACACCGATTGGCCTTTCCAGGGAATGGCATCTTGAATTGCTTAAGTAAATAAATACATGAAAAGTCAGCGAATTTGTCAACTTTGCTTCACTCTCATGTCTTTTCTCAATAAATTAACTGGAAACTACGGAGCTCTGTTCTCATTATTAAAAGAAATATACCAACCAGTCTTTCTGTTTTACTCGGTTTTGTTTCTGGCTCTCAGATATGCGATTTTCTGAAGTCTGCCAAAGCCTGTGGGCCTCTTTTAAATACACTAAATAAAATACAGGATTGCAAAGAAAACACTTAAGGTCAAAATCAGGTTATCAAATGATTTTAAATCAATCTACAATATATGAACCTATGTGCCTCTTCAGTAACACAGCAATATATCCAGCAGTAGGAAATGACACATTAACAATCACTTTAGGATATCTTTAACAGATATACAGTGATCTGCAAATATCTATGATTTATTTTGGCACGTCCCATCACACTGTAGTTGGTTACCAACATTTATAATTGAAGAAAAGCTAAATTTCAGTAATAATTTAGGTTAAATAACCATGTAATAATTTTTCTTCTCAATATTTACAGGGCCCAGGTAAAAATATTAAGTTTCTGGTACAGTGAAATCATGAGTTTATTAAGTTATTCCATTTATGCACCATCTATTGGACCAATAGCAAACAAACCTGTTTTTGCTTCTGAATTTCTAGCACAGAATTCTTTTTGACAAGTCAAAGTAAATTAGCAAGCTGATATGATTTCACATATAATTCATACTTGTGGCTTCTCTGGGGAAAAATACCATTAAGACCACAACACGTTAGCCTGGCATCTCAGCAAGGAAATGTACAACCAGGCTAAGCAGCAGCTGCCCCTTTTACCTTGTCAGTCTCCAAATTAACTGTGATCCTTTCCTCCCTCCTCTGTGCTTGCTGCCTGGATTTTGCAGTCCTTCCTTATCTGTGGCATTTTCTGCTCATGATAGCTCTTTGCCTGGGTAACAGGTAACAAAGACTGGTTTTCTAATACAGAAGAGAATTCTCTCTGTATAACCACTGTTATCCCACCTAACTTCACTCTTGTTTTCAGCAGGTGATGTGCTGAAGGCCCATAGACAGCCGCTTGTTTTGTAAAGGATGTTTTATTGAAACACAATTATATTCATTTACTAACACATTATCTATGGCTGCTCCTGTGGGTTGAATTTTGTCCCCCTTCCCAAATTCATATGTTGAAGCTTTCTCCCAATGTCATGGATTTTAGAAGATAATTGCATTTAGATGAGTTCATAAGGGTGGGGCCATCATGATGGGATTAATGCCCCTAAAAGAAGAGATATCAGAGAGTTTGCTTGCTCCTGTCTCTACCATGTGAAGATACATTGAGAAAATGGTCATCTGCAACCCGGGGAGCTCACACCAGAAAACCAAGTGTCTGGGAACTTGGTCTTGGACTTTTCAGCCTAAAAACTGAGAGAAATAAACTCCTGTCATCTAAGCAAGTCTAGAACATTCTGTCATGGTTAAAGGAGCTGCTTTCATAGTATACTGACAATGTGGAGTAGTTAATAAGAGTGGTCCACAAAGTCCAAAATACTTACCCTTTGGTCCTTGATGAAAAAAAGTTGGCCAACCCCAGCTCTAGTTTTTGGGTGAAATTGGTAGCTACTGCTCCAGAATTTTTACACAGAAGAGTTTAAAGATGGTTCAAAGGACCTGTTTTCTTACCAGGCATCTCACTTTTCCCTAACAGAGATCAATGCTGATAGCTAAAGAACTGTCCTTTTCCTTCCTCTGATGACACTAAAAATTGCACACTATGCAGACCTCTCCACTGAACCATCCCACAAAGTCATGTAACTAGAATTGGAAACTTAGGGTCAACATCTGCTTCCTTTACTTACCAAGAGCATGCTCTTATCCAGTGACTAGGAGGGTTATGTGATTCCCAGCATACTAAGAATATCATTTTGGTTGTACAATTGACAAAAAACATTCAGTGTAATAATGTTTACAATAATAGCAACAAGAACAAAATATTTTCTTTGAAAAGATCAATGTGGAATAAAGTGAGTGAGTAACTGAGAAGCTCTACGTATGAGTTTATCTGTGAAATATGGTTGTAGAAAAAAATGCAGCTGCATTGACAAGCTAAAGCAATGTGGTAGAGTTTATAACAGTCCAGGATTTAGAATCAGCAGAGAGGGAATCAAATCCAGGAAGACCCATAACTTACCTGTCAACTGTCAGTACCAGTGTTAGAATTTCAACCTCCTCATAGATGAAATAGGGAATATATTGCCTTATTTGTGGGTTGTGAACATTTAATACCACTGTTATGTATTTACACTATTATGTAAAATATTGCTCAAGTTTCTGGCTATTTAAAATAGGCTCTCAAAAGGGTCATTTATATTACTAGTCATTGGAAAACATTTTCGCACAGTTCCTCTTTTCCTTTTTTTTCTGAGAATAAAGTGACACTGACAATACACCCTGTTCCCACAATTTGCCAAGTTATTGAAACAATCCATCAAAAGCAACAGGGCTGAGATTATAAAAAAGTGACACACGCTGTAAAAGGGAACAGATTATAAAAGGAAGAAGCCATTTGATGTAACTTAGCACACCAGTACCTGCGGAGATAGGCCCATCTTTCATTCATTCCAAGGTCCCATTAAAACAAGATAAAACAAAACAGAAATACGAGTCATCTGTCTCTAGCTTGTCTTCCTAGGAGAGGCATCCACACTGGTATGTGCACACATTTCTCCTCGCTAATGAGATGTGAGTTCATTTGTGTGTGCAAGAGGAAAAAAGGCAACAGAGCTTTGTGATGAACTCGTTTTAAAGAATCAAAATTTATTTTCTACTGGTGATTTGTTTTAATTGTGTTTGTTTGAGATGTTGCATTGCAAAACTGTCGGTTGGCCACTTAATATTAATCTCTGGCCCTGAAGAATAACTGCCTGGTTTATTTCACAGGGCTATTATGAACATCAAATGAGACACAGTATAAGCAATGGGTTTGGAGGCAGACACCAACAAATAAAACATGTCCCACAGACTAATGACAGTGGGTAGGGGCTTTGGTAATCTTGCAGAGTGGGGAGGACACTTCAAACCTGAAAAATTTTAGTACCCAACTGGCTGCTTGTAAATAAAGAGCTTGAAATTCTAAAAGTAGAGCTGAGGCCAAATGGACTCTGAACCCCCTAATGAAGGAGTAAGAAAGTTTATACGTGGCGACTTCTGCCATAACCATCCCTGTCTTCTGCTGTTTGTGTTTCACATAATATTCATACTTAAAGGATCTGAGCACAGGGACTCTGTGTTTAGTCTGATGTTAATGACTATTTGTTAACAAAACTATAAGCTGGAAATGTTGCTCAAATATAGATCTGATGTTATAATACAGCCAACACAAATACCACTCCTGCTACTCATCTTCTCCTAGAATCCTGAGTAGGAATCACACTGACTTAATTATTTCATTTCTATATCGCTACAGTACAGACATTAATTTGGCTCTTGGTTTGATGGCTTCCATCCATGTTTTGTTTTGTTTTTTTTTTTTTTTTTGGTTTTGGTTTTTCTCCGGTGCCGGAAACCGAACTCATGACCTTGCGCTTGCCAGGCAGGCGCTTTGCCGCTGAGCTAAATCGCCAGCCCCCCTTCCATCCATGTTAACAGCAACAAAAGTTTTATTTAAGGGGTAGTGGAAAGAAAGAACAGTTATTTCAAAATACTTCTCTAAAGACAGGCAATCATTTTAGATTAAATTCCTTAAGTGCAGTTATCCAAACATATATTTCATTTTTGGCAATCAAAGAACCCTAGCCAATGCCCAGTGACCTATAAATCAGAGCTAGGAGATTTCTTTATGCAAATTAAATTTGTGTCACACTCATCAATAAAAAAAGAAAATGGTAATGAAGATTAAATTTGCAGCAACAGTACAAAGTAAAGTATTCCTATACCTATTTGTAGGATATGTCATTGTGGCTAATTAATTTTTGAGATAGTGTTCTTTGAAAGAATTAATGGTGAGTAAGCTTTATGAATTAATTACAAAATGAGAAGAAAGGCTTAAAGAGAGTTGGGAATGTAAAGTAGTCAACCAGCTTAACCTTACCAGCTTTAAAGAAATACACACACACAAAGGAAAATACATTGGTACTCATATTATGACAGTATTATAATTAACTGTGTCATTGTATAGTTAAAGTTCATTTCTTTCTCCTCCAGCTTACTTTTCCTTTTGCATCTTAAATGATAAAGGCTCGAATATTTATTCATATCATCAGGGTATCATTTTTCCTTAAAAGCCAAAATATACATAAAGGGAAAGATATTACACCACTATATATTGAGGACTATCTGGTGCTGTAAAATAAAATAACTTTTCCATTTCTCAGCTAGTAGAGCATACATAACATATTAGCCCTCCAGACATGAATAAGGTTAAGTAGATTTGGACAACCTACCCGTTTCCTTAGATTGCACGTCAGAGTGAGATTCCTGGAGAATGAGTTTGCAAAAGCTGTGTAAAAGTCGAGGACCTTGAGCAGGGCTTCTCGCTTGATAATGTGCAGGTCACAGTATGTCAGAGCCCGCACGTTCGCGCAGGCATGAGCAAGGGTAGTTTCCTTCCAGAAGATGTCTCCAAATACATCACCTTTTCCTGGAAAACAGGTTAAGATCCACCGTCAAGTATCTACAGCACTTCTTGTCACCATGTTTGTTCAGTTTCAGAATGGTATTGGTCGTGTAGCATAACCTCAAGCTGAAAACATGACTGTATTTATATACACATAGCACGGGGGCACACTGTCACCTAGACAGTAAATCAGCATCACCCTGAATTCAGTACTAACGAACTCTGGAGTGACACGAATAAAGATAAATCAAGAGATATGCCCAAAGTCTCATTTCAACAAATAAGTTTATTATCTTCTATCATTGTAACTTTTCCTATTGTGACCAAAAGAAGTAAAAATAACTTTTACTTTTATCCTTTGCTCTCCCTCTGCGATAGATGACAATAAACTGCAATATGCAAAGATACGCTGTTACAGCCTTTGTATATCTAGACCTGATGCCACATATATTCAGCTACATTGTCCAGCAACTGAGTATGTACTATAGTCAAATGTAGATGACTTTTTGAAAAATTATGCAAATTACATATTCATCTCAGGGCACCATCCATTGATGCCCTAAACCCAACCATTTGCCATTCCAAATCAAGAGTACTTAGTTCCCCAAATAAAGGGAATGAGGTAGAATCCAATATCAGAGATCACAAAAGGTTCTTCTGTTAAGGCATTTCCCTAACACTGCTGGCCCTTGGAGGGCAGGCAACCTTCTTTCTTTGTTTGATTTCTGTGGGCGAGTTTTAAAGTGGAAAAGACAGGAGGAATATACCGGGTGAGAAAAAAAACCTTCCTCGAGGCACTGTCTGGGTGGCTTATTCTTTCTGTGCTCTAACCAGGGAGACACACAAGTATCTGTGCACACCATGCAGATTAAAATAAAAATGAGGAAAGAAAGAAAAAAGATATAATCCTTCAGGACAATGATACCACCGGAGAAAAAAGAGAGTGTAATCAGAGAAATAAGACAGGAAAACAAAGACAGAGGTTGCATCAGTGCTATCACCACTCCCTTGCCCACACAAGCAGTGGGAAGCTCTTGAGAACAAGGAAACTTGGATTCAGCAGGAGAGACACTGTACTGGACTGTAGGAGACAGTGTGCGCCTCACGCAGGAAGTGGTCAGAGCCATGATGTGATCACCATACAACAGTCACAATAGATGCTTAATTCATTTTAAGTAATTCATCTGTTTCTGGACCCTCAAAACAATTCCTTTTAGCTACTGGCTTTGATGAAAGGCTCAAGGAAGTGTCTGACAGCCATGTACTTGTCCAAGGAAGGAGCAGCAGAGACCCAGGACCCAGTTACAGCCGTGAGGGCTATACAGTGTCATGATAACCTAAGGGAGACCTCATCTACAGAAACATAAGACAACCCCAGCATCCTTGTACACAGTGAGTTTCACAAATCTTCACATGGCATTTTCTTTGAACTAGTAATGCCAATTGTAGGTATAGTTTTGAATTATGAAAGTGCCAAATTTACTTAGAAAAATGCTCACTGAAGTGATATTGGCCCAAAAAAGTACAATAAGACAAGGGTTAATGAATAAATAAATTATAAAGTATTAGGCAGCCAATACAAAGCAGAGATTTTTAAAGTGATATGTTGGGAGCTGCTGGAGGTGGACATTGGTCACATGTGTGAGGGCAGGACAGAGCCAGAGTGGCTCAAGCAGTCAAGCTACCTCAGTCTTGAGAAAAACAACCTGCCTAGACAATTACAGTCGTTAGTCACTAGACAACGTTACCTCTCATGATACTAACTTTGCAAGAGTATAAATAAACAGAAGAGTATAAATAAACAGCAAGTTAGATCCTCTTTCCGATCAGGTAAAAGGTCGCCTGCAGCTGACCCAGCTCTTGTGTCTTGTCTTTACTTTCCTCATCCCCACCACCATCCTCTCTGGGGTACAAAGAGAGACCAGCGAGGTCCACTACAGAGATATAGAGAGATAAGTATCTAAAATAATAAAACCAGAATATCAAACTATACATGTAGTGTAATTTCATTTTAGATACCCCACACTCTCCCAATCCACATAAATGCACATAGCATGGAAGCAAGTGAATGAAAGCAGTAGGTTCTCTTTGTATATGGGACAGTGGGTGGGGTGCATCTCACATTCTATGCATATTATTTTATAAACAGAAATTATTAATAGCTTATCATAGTTCCCAATGCTACAAAATAATAAGCTTTTAGCAGTCTGTTTTTATCTATGTCTTCTCTCTTTCTCTTTAATATCACTGCTACTCTAGCTTTTCTTTTTACTTTTCTCCTTTTCCTTAAAGAGAGAGAAAAGGATTACGTTTCTTTCCGATTCATTTCTATGACATTTTTTCAAATTGCCAATTATAATAAAATTTCTGATCTATTTATAAATACTCATTACTTTTCAACTATTTGATTTTCATGTATGATACACTTTAATATTGTTTTCACTCAATAATTCCACTTCTGGGAATTAATCCAAAGATTAGAAGCAACATACATAAAATTCACAGCAATGTTATTAAGCACATCCTAGATTGTAAAAAAAACTAGATGTCCAAAAACAATAGAAATTGTAAAAATATATGTAAAGTATCAATAAAAAATTAAAACAAGTTTTGAAATAGCATGCAAAAAATACTTATACTCATAAATCAAAAAATAACACAAAGTATTATACTATTATGGTAACAGCTATAAAATGAAATTAAAGTACCAAGATTAACAGAATATCAAGAAATACACTCTTTTTTTTCTTTTTAAGGAATTCTGGGCTGGAGATTTAGCTCAGTGGTGCAGCACCTGCCTGGCAACATTAAGGTCCTGAGTTCAATTCCCAATACCCCCCTAAAAAAGAAATTCTTTTCTTGATAAAACCAAAGTGTATTATATATTATAATTATATTAATATAAAATATTTTATCTTGCTATTAATTTGCCAATTATAATCAATTGAGGTAAAGGACAGAGAGATACAAGACTAGAAAAAATGCACTTAATTAATAGCAAAAATGGCTGTAAGTGGAAGCTCAGCTAATTGTCTCTAAGTGTTGTTTTCCAAATTTTCTTATAGAAATTTGCATAAACTTTATTTTAAAATAGAATACTATTTTAAAAGATGTTTCCTTACATTTTTAATAACAGTGAAATCATAAAACATGTACATAGATATGTGGACTGCTATATTAATACTCATTGATTGCTAAATAGATAGTTTAAAGATAGTTGATACATAAATGTAATTTCCTTTTATCAGTATAGATCAGTGGTAGTGAGCCTATAGCATGTGTGCTGCGGCAGGCTTTTTGTTTTTATTGGAAGTTCTGAAAGGTTTGCCAGTATAGACCATTTTTAATTGTGGAGGCATTCAAATATACATTATACATTTTATTTTATCTAACTTATGAAATGAAAATTCTGGTCCTATTTCTACCCAAAAGTTTAAAACATCAAATTATTTATCTTTTTGGTATTATAGTGAAATAAATCTCTGATGTGGAAAGAATAATAAAAAACTAGGGCATTAACTCTGTTTGTTTGTTTGTTTGTTTTTCTTCCAGTACCAGGGATCAAACTCACAACCTTGTGCTTGCTAGGCAGGCACTGTGCCACTGAGCTAAATCCCCAGCCCCTTAGAGCATTAACTCATAATAAGCTTCATCCCCCGCTTCTCCTCCCAAAATTCAGCAAAGCATTGCAAAATCAACAAATGTGGCTAATTTTATTCCCTACATCATAATTCACTTTAATAATAAGTAATAATAACTGTTTCATGGCCCAGAATTTCCATTAGGATATGCACTGTATAAACTGGATATGAATCTAATCAGTCATTTCCGAATATGTTTGCTTTATTCAGCTTTCTGTATCACCTAATGGGTACTCGGTTCACAGCAAAATTCATGGCACTTCTGGGAAGATAGGCATAAGTCCATGAATGATTTTACCAAATGTGGCAAAGCTGGCTAATGCCCTCCTTCAGGACATGTCAAGGATATTTACACTCATCTGTAGATATCACAGGTTGTGGAGACAGGATTATGCATGGACATCCAGTAAAGAAGTCCCCTTTCTTTCATTGCAAAGACTTGGCATACTTTGAGGACTTGGAACTCTGTTCATTTGCATGACTATAGAATATCTGGTGCTGGTTTTTAGGTCAGCTCCTGCCGGCTGCAAGTAATCTCAGCTATAAACATTTTAGAGCTTGAGCGAACTAACCTCCCTCAAGCCCCTAAAATAGGAGAAAAACTCGCACCGAACATGAAAGTTGTTGTTTGGTCTATTTATATTTTCTCAGTTCTTTGCATCCAATCTTATGATGTATTTCACTGCTAAACCACAGGAAACAGGACTGTAAAGTAGAAGTTAATGTTAAAGATTCATATAGTAGGAAACTGGAAAATTTAAGACTACATACAGATAGCTACAACATAATTAAAGAGGTGAAGAAAACGATGGTATGTTTGTGGATTAAGGTCCCCTACAGTGCTGATTTCACAGCCCAATTTTTTTGTTCTGAAATATGCTACTTGGTAATGTAATGACATGAATAGAATGGATGCCTAAAATTATTAACAGTTATTCATCAGTGAGTATAGCTTATCAATATATACAACAGATCCCTAGTAAAGTATCACTGGAACTTTACTTTAGTGGTTTTCTGTGTTTGAGGGAGTGTATTTGATGGTTCTTCTGTGCAATATATTTAATTCATGTGTAATATTCCCTCTTTTTAAAAAAATAAATTTTACTGCATATATCTGAGCTTTACATGTAATGTTATACAGTTCGTATAAATAGTAAAATGGTTTCTGTAGTGAAGCAAACAAACACACCTATCACCTCATCTCATGGTGTTTGTAGGTACACCAAGTGCAGCTAACATCTACTTAACAAAAGTCCCTAATATAATTTAATTTCATTAATTAGTGTCCTTGAGTTGCGTATCAGAGTTCTTAGATTTGCTTATTCGACATATCTGCTATTTTCTATCCATTCGCACACATCTCCCTATTTCTGTCTACCCCAT